ATTCTCAATTAATTCGATTTTTTAGTAAATTGAATATGTTGAGTATGTGTTGGAGGATACAAAACATATGGAAATTATAAAATGTGTTAGTTTTTTTAATGAGTACGACATATCAAACAACCCCTTTTGAGAGGTTGTGGGAAACATATTTTATTAACCAGTTAGAAATCGTCGACGGACGTGATGCATATATGTTATGTTGTCCGAATTTCCATAGCAAAATTTGACTTTTGTCCAACAAAATCACCATTAAAGCTGTTTTTAAGAAACAGTAAGCAATATTTTCAATATATTGCATGGTCATGGTAAACAGTTGAGTTGAAAGCACAATAGCAAATATACATGTTTAGTGTCGTCAATCTCAATACGCATTGCGCAGGATGCGGTAGAATAGCAGAACCCATGGAATTTAAAAAATATCAATTATCGTAAATTTGCCCTTCACTATTCCTCTTGGCATCAATTTCCGACTATCATAATGACGAAGCACAATGCTGACGAACAAATGATTACAATATCGTTTCTAAACATACCTTAACAATAGTGAAGGGTATCATAAGAACCAAACGTTATATTGACATGTTTTATTTTACTTCAATCCTAGATATTAAAGGAAGAATGCTCATAATATTTATACGATTTAAGACTCTTGTGCAAATTTTCTTCCTTCGTTGGAAAATATCAATTTAACTCGATCAACCTACAATAGGTGGCGAGATTTCTAGTTTTGCCAGTTGTCATTTTCGCGGGAAAATTGACTGTCACCAGGTGGCGTTATTAAAAAGAGGTCAAAAGCCCTCTATCGGGTGCAAAATTAGTTAAAACGATGTTAATATCACACTGAACGAAAACCTTTTAGCTCAACTTGAATTTTGCAGTCGATCAAAACTGAAATTTCTTTTTTCGATATCGAGGTGAGTGATCTATTTCAGACTCTATTTGGTATTCTAACAAAAGTAAGTTTGGGTGATAACCGTTCTCCAAGGCAGATTTAAGGTACCAACGATTTAGAGGAATTAAATCGACGATTCTTTTGTCGTCTGAGCTATTTTTTCGCAAGCATGTGCATTTTCTAAAACATATGATGCTGATACACGTTTGTGAGAAAAAAACGTCGTGAGGATTCTGCCTACAACGCGTGAAATAAGGAAAAAAGAAAAATCGTACCTTCGACGTCCCGACATTTTGTTACCAAAACGAATTGTTACGGTAACCAGCGTAATCGAGCGGATCACAAATGAAGTTGACGTCGTGGGTTTTCGTTCATATGTGAGGGGGGGGGGGGGCTATAGCAACAACCTGTTGCATGTGTGAAACCTCTCCATTGTAAACGGTCGTTCATAATGTGTAAACAGGTGTAGTTATAATAAACGATTCCCTTGAATTGACTTGTATGTTATTCATTATTTACAATTCTCTCCTAATGCGTTATAAATGAGAAGAGCATAGTGACATATCAAGCGTAGCCATATTGTATTTGATACGTTAAGCTCACTATCCTATATGAAACATTAAGAAGGAAAGTGCAACTATACTTGGTGTGATATGCGGTTGTATCGTCTAGTAAACAGGGAGCTTAAGTTACACGTTTTTAAGTGAGCCGTGTACACATTCCCGTAAACGTTTAGAAATAGTTGACCCCCAAGAATTACCGTCCCCCTCTAACTTCACTTTTCAAGGGACCTAATGACAATTATTATCCGTACACCTTTATTCTCAATCAGTTAAGCGAATACTACAAATGGGAGAACTAATCCACAGAAGACAATACGTGTACACGTTCATGAACGAGTTTTAAAGAAACGTGTATATTTACCTCCCTAGCTAATAGCTTGAGCAAACGCAAGAAAACGCGAGATCGAAGTCGCATATGGAGCCTATAAGAATAAAATAACACCACTGTAAATAACACATTATTTAACTAGTCAAGGTGACTAAATGAAAAATAGATCATCCATTGCTTTAAAGAAAGAAGCGTACACACAAATTACTTTGATATGGAACGGTATTCTAAAGAAGCATATCTTCTTGCATGCTTGGACGAACAAAGTCATGTAAGGAAAAGTGTCACCATATTCTAATGATATACATTGGATTTGACCTGTAGAGCGAGAAACAAGTTGTTGTTTAGCCGATCTTGTATGTTGATCATTTCGCAACGGTTATATTTATTAATCAACAGATGTTTTTTGTAGATATCTTAATCAATGGAATTTTTTGTTGGATGGATTGTTTTGACCTAGCAGACAAGCATTTAGTAGTGGATTAAAAATTTCAAAAAGACCCTGGAGAGCAATTATACGTACATTTAAATCGAGAAGTTGAGTGAGTATCACAAAAAGTGAAAATGAAGACATAGGTAATCATTGTGATCGCTCCTAATGCCTTTTTAATTCTTCTAAATCGGCACCTACTAGTTGATAGTTAATCATCTTAATCAGACCTGCGAACAAACGAATCATATTCCATGATAATGATTCGGACAAGACCACAATCAGTATGTTATCGGTTGAAATGGAAAGACTATAGTTATTGAATGATTTGAAGTGCAATACAAGATATATTCTGCTCGAGAAAGTTTGTATTGGAACGAGAGGAAGTCGAGTGCCAATACAGAATGTCGAGACAGAATATATCCTGCATTGCACTTCAAATCATTCAATAATGTTTTTATCGTGTGATCCTCTGTATTGTTACTGAGAATGTCACCTCTCCGTACCAATATTTTCTGTATTGCGACGGAGATGACCAACGGGGACAATCTCAGTAGCAATACAGGTTGGTACAGCACAAGAACTGACCAATCAGAGGGCTTCATTTTACAGATCTTACGATAACTATTATTACCACCTTGTCGGGCCTGTTGTAGGGGTATTAATATTCGTAAGAAGGCATTTATTTAAGAAGTTTAGACCGAAGGGGTAATATCGTTGAATACGCGCCACAGGGCTACGCAAAAACGTTTTCTGAACCGGAACGACCGAAGAGAGTGAGGGGTTCGAAAGCGTCTGTGTCTAGTCCTAAGGGGTGTATTAGACGATATTACACCTGCTCTGAGGTATATTATATTAGGATTCGAACATGCAAACTCAACTCATTTGTTTCGAATATTCATAATGGCCCGCCATTACTACGGCCCGCACATTACACACATTACTCGTATTACCAGGGGTATTGTTCGCGAATATACCCCGAGTGACATGGTGACTTTATTCACATTTTATATAAGGCGTGAAGACAGTCATGTTCGAAAATATAAATACATATATATTATATATAAATATATATCATTCAATGCGTATGATTTCCGTTCAGTTTTTGGTATATCAGCCCTGGACATAAACGGTGGTGATAATACCTCTAATAACGTGATTTCTTCGGGCAAAATAGTAGAAAATGTTGGACCTAGGGCATTCGGCCATTGGTTCAATATTTCACTTTATTATATCATTGCTGGGAATCGTGTGCTTTGCTTGGCAGATTCAGTACCATCTAATCAAAAATATAAAAACGTATCGCACGGCTCCTTCAATTTTTGGACCATAAAAGTTGTATTGCCCTGCGTATTTCCCGCCCGGGAATTCTGTCAACTGCACTGGATGAAAAGAAAAGTGTACCATACAATTATACTTGTACGTCATCGTGTTATCGTTGTGGGTTCATGATATATTCATTAATTTAAATAAATGTTGAAATGCAAAGTGATCGTGGAGAATGTCTAGCAATGATATAATAAAACAAATATTTCATTCTATGTTCGGGCAAAACCTATTGCACTTTCAATGATTTTTGCAGCATGTATTTCCCCCGCCCTACGGGCTGCGGGTAATACATACTGCAAAGATCTTTGAAAGATAAACAGACATTGCCCTCCATAGAATGAAATGTTTGCTTAATATTGCGCTTTGAAATGACGTCATTGTACTATTAATAGAGGAATTACGAAATAAGACAAATCAGGAAGTATAATTCGCAAATGTTTTTCAGTTGTATATTACAATAACCCTAATCTCTCTTTACGGCGATTATCTATTGGACACGTGATGTACAAGCCATATTATTAGAACTCAGAGATCCAAACAGTCATATCATACGAGAACAGATCCCAATAAAGCACAATACAATAAAAATGATGTTACGAGTGATCCAGTAGATTTACTTGACGTGTACATGGCATTCGATATGTATGGCACTCAGACATGGAACAATCAAATACCCATAAAATACAACATAATTGATTTTTGGACGTTTGGAAGAATAACTGAAATGTGAAAAGCATTAACAGGGTTACTCGATGCTCTTTACCGAAACAGCCATCTTAACTTCGCCGATTAAACCTTTGGATTGAAACCTGGAATTCCATCATGGCCAAATTTTAAAATAAACATAGAGAAATTTGTTAAATTGTATTTAAGATTTTCATCTAAGTCTCTTACGTAAGAATAACTAAAAACAAACAATATTAAATTTGTATTATCAAGAAATATTTTACATTAGAGACCCATCCATTGTCGATGTATTAACTCATCGTGTTTCGATTAATAACACGGTTTATTAAGTGTGTCATTTTGTATAAGATTAACAAGAAACGCTTCAGTGTAGTTCATAAAAAAGAGTACAGTGTAAGATATAATTATTTCAGGAAAACAATGGTTTCATCAGAAATATACACTGATAGTTAAATCCGAATAGAAAGGCGTCAAAAACTTAACAAAATACCTCATCTGAGCACGATGATAATTTTTCAAAACTCAGAAACGCGTCTAGATTTATATCCTAAATAAAACCTTTGGCATGAAATATTCCCTAAACTACATCACGCGACAGATATACGTTATAGTGTTAAGTTTGCCTAATCCTTTACGTTAACCAGAATTAACCCGAACTATATATGTTAAACGTTCATTTTCCAATAAGTGCTTTGACCGTACGTTTACTGAATGTTTAATCCAATGATACTAGTGTATTTTAAGTAACATTATAAAGAAATATCGACTTACCAAAATCCCCACGGCCACAATGGAATATCCAAAGTAGAGGACCGAAAACCTATTCCACAGATCGCCGACTCTAGACACTGATCTTTAGAATATGATAAATAGCTAAATTCTAAATGATTCTGATACAATGATTACCAACCCCTATAAACCATAACAGGCAACAGGTGTGCTCCGATTTCAATGTATGTGTCGATAAACTGCTACAGATGTAAAATCGCTGGTTAATACAGCTTCCTCTGCGACGCGCTGAGTTATGCCAAGCATTCGTATTACACAAGCTTATATTCCAGTTGACAACTAAAGACAGTGCGAGAGATCCGATTTGACAATCGAATGGCTTTAATTTCCCAGAATGCAACACAATCGTGTTTGTCACAAGACGTACGGAAGAATGCATACTAATGAAGAAGAGGAGATAACAGAGTGAGAGCGAATGTTAGTTACCAATAGATCCACTGTTGTGAAGTAAGAAATGCAAAAATGGCATCAGATATAGATTCCTACTAAACCTAGTACTTAACTACAATATAAAATTAAGAAAATAAAGTATAAAAACATACATGAAAACGTTGAACTCATTTTAAAGCACATTTTAGACAAATACGTATTCATCAATTGTTAAATTAACGAAAATATGTATTGACGTTGATTGACACTTATTTATTGGTAGGCACTTATATTTGGATAGTATTGTTTACTTGTTCAAAAATTACTTATAGTCTGATGCCAAAAATGTTTGCGTCATAGACTCATCATCATGTTGGTATGACATTTTAACAAGTGTCTGATCTGAAAACACAGCGTATACCACAGACATCATTATCATGTTCAAAAACATAAAATCAAGAAGAAGAAGAGAATACCGTAAAAAGAAGTCATAATGTGGCATACGTCAGCTGTATGTAAATTTTAAGATCATAAAGGTATCCTTTCATAGGGGCCTTCACTGTAAGATAAGTTTGTGCCATAAATCAAATGTATGCTTGTACCTGATATCGATTCTGTATGTCTTTCCATGCATATAGCTTACAATGTAGTGCAGATATATGACACCATATACGAGGATCGTTTTATAGATACTAGCTTTCATATCAACTTCACTTTATCAACTCAATGTAAGGAAATTGAGTTGAAAAGTGTTCATGTCACGGACAGGAATTATGTTTTACTACTGGCCAAATGTTACTCTAAACTTTACCTCGGATTTAATTTCAGCCTGGTTGTATGAATTGTTTTAGGAATCGAGTGATTGATTAAACCACAATTGTAAAAGAATGGGGGACTTGACAACATCAGTAGGGTATTCATTGATGTCGCCCATGCGCGTGATTACATCGCAAGACTTCGTATTTAAATGACATACGTCACATCCGGTTAAAAAGCAATTGACAATTTCTCTATGTTCATCGATCGAAAACCACCGTGGCGACGATTGTGTATAAACAACTGTTAAGCATTTTTGTTGTGTTCAAAGTTCCAAGAAGTTGTTAAATAATCTATAAATCATTTTTGCTTTCAATTCTGTTGTCTTCCCTGTCAAAACAATTTAAAAGGAATTAACCCCGGCATATTTAATATGATGTGAATACGTACAAAGCCAAAATAAAATGACACAATGACATAACCTAACCCAGCAATAAAAATGAAACATCTAATACGACACCAGTCGTACGGAAAAAAACAACTACCCCAAACCATTATCCAACGTGAAAAGAGGCAACATCTACAAACCTCTTCCCGTCATTCAAGTTTCATTATCACAATCCAGAATCATAACACCAAGGGCCATTTCATTTATTCAGAAGCCATTACAATATACGTTAAAGAAGTAATAATATAAATTGATATATGACTGCTGAACAAAGTTCAAGCTAGAAGTATGCATACAACAAACGGCATTCAGTCTCAAATGATATGGCACGGATTAAATCCTATTTTGACAGTTATTTCGGCCACGGTAGCGTATAGTTAACTAAATCTTACTGATAGATGAGTTAATTATGTTAACGGACGTCGGTGTAGCTAGTGATGACTCGGCTCACCTTTATTCCTTTCATTTTCAGAATCACCATTAATCATCCTACTAATGTACCCCTTGGAGCAAAAGTCCTTGGCTAAACCTTAAAATCGCTAGGCAACATATACTGGACATTTCTCTCCCTAAATTGAGTTACCGGATCAACCACTTGGTAAATAAAACCTTGGTGTGTTATAGATCATGGGAGAACCAAACGCAGCCAGCACTATCAATGGTATACTATACCTTTAGTAATATAATAGAGAGAAGTCCGAAAACTTTTTGTCACAATATTTACCGGATGTGTTTATATTTCAATTTATCCTTCGAACTGTGACATTTATGCTAATAACTCGACATGTATATGATTCTTACATACCAATACGATCAAAAAAATACTAACATACCAAATGAAAGGTGATTTCCTGGTAAAACTTGCAAAAGCTGGTCCATATTCTCACTTGATCCATCCACTCCCTCCAATACGCATGCACAGCCCGATGTCAAAAATAAACCTATCTGATTGGTTGTTGTTGTAAACAGTAGGAGCTTTAAAAATATTTGGCGCAAAATTTATTTTTGAGTGTTTTACCTCTTTGGCAGCATTTTTGGCAGACACTAAGAGCTCCCTCAGAAGAGTTGTTTAAGCAGTACCTGCCTGTCCAAGTATACAAACGCGGAAATTCCGGATTGCGGAAATTTTCCATTTTTAGGCCATGCTGTATTACCCAGGATGCATCTCCGAGAAGAGGAGATTTGGATAGAGATTTAAACGAGATTTAGCGAGAGGACGCAATTGAGAAACATTTTGTGAAGAATGAGCACATTTGTACTGTTTTCTACGATCTCCACGTAATTTGAGGTATGGACCTTCATTTTTATTAACATTTGGTATCTTATTGACATCCGTCACTAAAAATAATAGAGAAACACTTGGAAACGTCTTATTCTCAGTCTGAAAAGTAGGGTGTCTGTACATTTTTACCAAAATGGGAAAACGTTTTCGGACTTCTCTTTATTATCTTACTAAAGGCAGAGTATACCATTGATAGTGCTGACAGTGGAATCAAAACATCAAGTCACAAGAAGAAAATGATTCCTTCAATTCGAGCGGCTCTGCTTGGGATTTCTTCACATCAATAGCATCTTACTTCGTTTCGATGTTGCAAATATATTGCATTCTTGGCAAAAATTTCAGGGGATATTTTTTCATACATGGGCGCTCCTTTCAATGGGTTACAATGGGAACTTCAATTTCAAAAGCGCCAATTATAGCATTAGTCTTGTGATAATAACGTCCCTTATAGTTATTTATTACAGGTCGAATAGACCATTGTTGCTTGATTTATAGCAAAATGATTGACTTTTGAACGTTGGTGACGATGCGCCTTTTTAATATATCTTATATCTTAGAAGCGTATCAGTTCAAAAAATACTAGAAGACCTAATATATGTTACCATGGACTGCGCCTATTCATTTGGATGTATGTCAGTTTTGAACTTTCTCTTGAAAAAATAAATCTTCCAGATTTGTTGAATTTTCTTGCAGAAAGCGCCTACTCCTCCTTCGTTCATTTTGTATGATCACCAGGCGTGTACATATAACTTGCCCTTTAGCTGGTTGGCAATTTCAATCTTCAGTCACAAGGTTTCATTTGTTCCAACTTGAGTTATAACACCTTGGAAGTCGAAGATGGTCAATCACATTTTTTATTGATGTGTGGTTTCCCAGTCAATACTTAACTCTGGTTAGCAAACATAATTTGAAATTATTCCTTTTCGCAATATATTTCTGCCTCGGTTAAGTCAACTATGCCTATGATAGAACTTTTAGTTTGACATCTTGTTTGGGTTTTAGTTGAATTATATGCCATAATGTTTAGCCTATCTTAGCCTATCAATCCAATTACCTTCACAGATGATCTTGATATTCTCCCTTTGACTTTGGCTTTGACCCCCTTTCCCCCTATTTCTCAAAAACGTGCTTAAACTCCCTATTGTTTGAGGTCTAGGGGGGTGGGAGCGTTTTTTGTATATATCAAATCAATGTTTACTCTTAGATTTTCGTTTTTCTCAATGTATCTTTGTGTTACGTCGCTGTACATGCTAGTTGAATATTAAGTAGTCTACTGTTGATTAAAATAGAGTTGCTTTTTGAAAATACCTGTGGCTTTGGACATTACTATTTTCTCATAAAGTCTCAATTTCTTGAATTTTGACTCGGAATGCCTTGGAATGGTCAAGATGCATGCAACATGGAACATTAAGCCTACTGCTGTTGTCATATGTTTTAAGAAAACACGCAAAAAGTTCGCAATCAACTTTCGTGGTAATTGGTTTTAGGGGAGGGGGTCTAACTCAATACTAGTTTTCCAGACATTGAACTTTTGACACCTCTCCTTAATGGCGTATATTTAATGCCAACGATGACTTAAATTGCATTTAGTCTTTGTGTACTTTGCGCAAACTCTCAGAAAGCTAAAATCAATTATCAAGATTTATTTTTAAATAGCTCCATTAATTCATCCATTAAATATGTCAAGGCATTTCTTAAGGAAGGAAAGTAAATTTTCGAGTTTACACGATGCTATTTATCTCTATTTTATATTTCCGCTCATGCTTATTGACGACACTAATTCTATTATCACTAATACTTAAATCGTGTGAGATTTATTCAGATCTGAAGCATATGGGGTATTCCATTTAAATAATAACACGAATTACGCTCATCCCATGTACAGGGTGTCTAAAAACGAAAGTTGAATAACTCGTTCAGTTTTGCATATGTGCCTTGAAAGAATTATTTAGTTCATTCAATGTGAATTTTGTGGTGAACGTTTGATCATAATCTGCCAGTTAAAGTGACTTTCTTACACTTCAGAGGCCGAAATTGGGGATTTCAAGAAATACTTTTCAAGAAAATAGTCTTACCTTTCTATTAGGATGGCTTCAGGTGCCAAAATTAGCTGATCCATGAATATATATCATTTTGAAAATTAGAAGCAAGAATTTTGTTTTGGAAGCCATGTTTTTTTGACAGTCATGACAGGAAGTAGATTCTCAAAATGAAAACTGGATTAACAGCATTGATTCTGAATTTGGCTTAGAATATTTACTCAGATATGCACTGTAATATAATTACCATGATTATTGACTACTATTTAATAATTGTGGTGCAGAGGAAAAGCATTTTTCTGAAATTAAGAATGAATACTAAAA